TTAGCCTATCAGCAAGCACAATGCACATACAGAGGAGACACTCCTGCCACATGTGCCCAGTGTCCCACATTTAGAATGGGCACACTGCCTGTGTGTTACCCCGCAGGACAGCTTGGGAACTCAGTTCTTGGCCTGTTCTAGGGTGGAAGTGGTTTCCTGTGCACATTATTGGGTCTTGCCACTAGATGGCACTCCAAGAATGCAGCTGATCAGATGGGGAAAGCACTGCCCAAGTGTTGGCAAAGTGTTGAGCTTGGTCATTAGCCTGATGTTTATTTTACAGAATGCCATCTCCTTCCTGAGTGCTCACAGCTTTGGGCTGTACACATGGATTGGTGGAGCCAGTGGTTAGGTCTAAGCTGTAATCCCAGCTACATTTTAATTAGTCAAAGAACATTTTTTTATTTATTTCTATTTGGTTTCACTTGTGTGTTTGTTTTGATGGAGTTGGGAGGTGGGGGGAGAGGGAGAGGCAGGCAGGGTCTGGTGGCCTGCTACACAACCACCAGGACTGCCTCTGAGGCATTCACCATTACAAAGTACCATAAACTCCATGAGGAAGAGATGAGAAGGGAAGAAGTATGTGCAAAAGGCCACTCCAGGATCTGTGCGGATGGTGGGAGAAGGAAAGGCAGGCAGTCCCTTGTGAGGAGAGGGAGAAACTGTCCTCATTAAAGCCACAAGCAAAGTAGTAGGGTACAGTCCTGCCCAGCTACACACAGCTGAGTGCCCTGGGGCTAGGGGCAGACATTACACATAAACCAGTTTAAGTGATTAGAAATGGATTTAAACCTGTAACAGAATAGATGTTCAGTGCACATAAACCAGTTTGAAAATGGCTGAAACTGGTTTGAGATAAACCTGGTTGAATATAGTATCAGATTTAACTGATTTGGCTCAAACCACTTTATGAAATGTCCGTCCCAGACCTCTTGCTGGTTTAAGATAAACCAGACTCCCCCAGCATCCCAGCATGCTCTCTGGGCTGGGCAGGGCTCTCTGCTCCACAGTAGGGCTGGCCCCTCCCCTCTTCTCCCTGGCTGCAGCTCCCCACCTCACCCTCACCACTCCCTGCTAAGTAGGAATTCCCCACCTCCCCTCTACCTTGCTGAGGAGGTGTCTGTGTATTAGCTAACAGATCCACATGCTGGCTACAGTCCCTATTGAATCAACAGGTAGCTGGTAATGTCTCTCTGTTGTTTTCTTAATGGGGTGATAAACACTGAGTTAGGAGTGATAAACACTGCTATCAATTCCCTGCTGGGATAATCAAAGCATTCTTCTGGGGCCTGGCCACACCCTCTCCCTCCCTCCCTCAGCTCAGTGCTGTAGAAGGGTTGGGAGGGCTGCTCTAGTGCCTTCCAGCTTTTACCTAAGCCACTGCAGGCATGTACCTGTATGTCTGGGATGTCTGTGTAGTTACAAACCGGTTCAGCCTAGCCAGGTTAGACTAACCTGCAAAGACTGAATCAATTCAGGCTTTTTGAATGTCTGTCCCAAACCTGGGAGAATAGCAGTAGCCTTGATCTGCTCAGCCATGGAGACTGCTCAGCAATAGTTATTGCTTCCACTTTGCAAAGGTGCAACCTGGAAGAAAGATGCCTCAGCCTTTTAACCAGCATGAGTGCTTGGGTGATAGTTTTGGCCATTGCTTGAGTGCATGGGGCTGCTGCCTTGAGGATGGGCTGCACTGTTTGATACACATTCTGGGGCCTGCCCTCAGTTATTGATGGTGGCCCCTGCTGAGGGTTGGGGCAAAAGGGGCTTTTTGCCTCCTCTTTTTTTGATCCATTCAGCCCACCTGCACAGGGAGCATCAGAATCATATTCTGGAGGGAGATCGCTAACATGGCATTGCCCAGTCAGCAGCCACAGTGCTAGATGCCCCCTTATTCTAGATGGCCCCCTATTCTCATTGCTGGAACATTTCAAAGGGAAAGAAAACAAATGACAAATCTCTGCTTTTAGTGGTTCTTTTCATCCACCTCCTCACTGGTCACACAGCCGTTTCAGCAGAGAAGAGCTCCCAAGAACTAGTGTTTTGCATCCCAGCTCACCCCCTTGAGGATGTGGTATTTAATGGGATGGAAAAGAGCAGGAAGCTAGGGCCATTCATGGAGTGTTCATGAGCAATGGGGAAGGATGTGTGAGAGTGGCAGGAGAGTGCCACGCACTTTATTGCCTCCTTAATGTGAGGCAGACGTCCGAACGATGTTCCATAGTGCCTGGAATCTCAATGTGCATCTCAGACACTACAGACAGGCCAGAAGCCCCACATGGGGACACTGGTCATGACAGTCATAGAAGAGTAAGGCCCCAGTGGTGGGGAGGATGATTCGCCATCCCAGCAAATCTCTGGTCATGCATTGGACCCCTGCCTCCTGCCTGGCAGGTGTATGTGGATGACAGTCCTGTCTTGATGCAGCATTGACCACAGGTCTTCCAAATGACAGATGGAAGAGAAGCCACAAAGGTGTGGTGTCAGACAGCTGTGCCCATGGATTCTCAAGGAGCACCCAGAGGCTTCTCCTGCAATCTGCTTCACAGTCCATTGGGTGAGCAGGTGGGGGGCTCATGACTGTGGTGAGGGAGGAGGGAGTTTGCCTTGTCTTTGTGAAGACACCTGCTCCCTGTTGCAATAGTCAGCATCTCTGTCTGTCTTCTATTAGAGCAGTATAATAGATTGCATTTTGATGCTTTGAGGAATATTTGTTGCTGGAAAAATAAGAATGGCCTTTAGAGAGAAGATGCAAAGGAGTGAGACTGGTAAGTGCCACATACACACAATGTCCTTAACACACCACAAGAGCTGGGCCCCGGCAGTACAAAGTTGTACCACTTCTTGCCACTGGAGGGCAATAGCTCACAGCACTTCAAGCCTGACCCTTTGGAGTCCTGACTCCAACTAGAAAACCAAGATTTCCATGTGTTTTAAATCGATTTGACTGAGGAACCTGTGGTTGTTTAAGGTGCTGATGCTCAGTGTCCAAGGAGAGAGACCTCCAACAGATGCTCCTGAAGCAGTCCAGGGTGCACATATGCAGCCTTGCCTCCAGGAAGGGATATTGCTGAAGGGCATTCTCCTGTTGTCTGTAGCCCCCATTATTTGTCATTCCTAAAAATAAGGCATATTTCCCAATGCTCTTAGTAACACCTCAGATCCATGTCCCCATCCAAGCTGCGTGCTGTGTCCATCAGCACAACAGTGTGTAGTTTAGTGCTCAGTTTGCTGGGTATCACTAGTCACCAACTGGCACTAGAATGTCAGTTCTGCCCTGGGAATGGGCTTGGAGAAGGAAAATCTTAATCCTATTAGAAGAACTGCATCGTTTTGGAAAAACCTTTACCAAACGAACCTCCTCCTCACTTTGCTGCTCTTCCTTCATGCTCCATTTTTACTTCCAACAAAGTGGAGCTCACAAACAACAGCACAGGGAGACATTAGGGGTCAAGTTCTGTTCTTGCTGCTCGAAGGGCAGAGACCAGTGAGTGAAGTCCTTACTAATCAGTGACTGAAGTGCTTCTTTGTTTATGAGGCCAGAATGGTGGGACCTGGGCAGACTACCTTTGTGTGCTGGGTCTGAAGGTAAGGAAATATTCTGCCTTGGGATGGTGGGCCAGGTACTATGGTCACCTTAGGTTCATAGATGTTTGGGTCAGAAGGGACCTTAGCAGAGTGAGTCTGACCCTCTGCCCTGGGCAGAAAAGAGCACTGGGGTCAGATGACCCCAGCCAGGTGTACGTCTAGCCTCCTCTTAAAGACCCCCAAGGCAGAGGAGAGCACCACCTCCCTTGAAAGCCCATTCCAGATTCTGGCAACCCTCACTGTAAAGGAGTTCTTCCTGAAGTCTAGCCTAAATCTGTTCTCCATCAGTTTGTGGCCTAGTTACTCCAAGGGGTGCCCTGATAAACAGAGCATCTCCTATTCCTTGCTGTCCCCCATGATGAATTTGTAGGCGGCCATGTAGCAGGGCACTAGGGTGCCTGCTACTGACAAACAGTAATATGGACTCAGCTGCCAGTCACCAGGGCAGCACAGGTGTGGGTTGCTGAGACAACCAGTCTGGTCAGCTGACCGGTAGGGGGCAGGGCCTGGCCTATATAAACAAGCTAGGTTGAGGCCAGAGGTCAGTTCCCCTCTGGTGGTTGAGGAAGGTGGAGCTCTGTTGGAGCAAGGAGAGCAGCCCAATAGTCTGAGCAGTTTCTGCATGAGGATGCTGGGTGGAGGAAACCCTAGTAGGGATTTGAAGGAAGGTTGGCCAGTTTGGCTTGGAATTTATGTTGGAACCCAGGAGTGGGAGTTTTCTGTTTTGCTGCCGTATAGGACTGGGTGAGGCTGTAGGGGTTGGAGGAGGCCTCATAGGAGCTCCCCAGTAGTGTGGGGGGTTCCTAGCACTGCAGAGGGCGCCACGTTTTGGGGTGTATTGACCCCAGCCCCAGTGTGGGCAGTATTGGGAGGGTAAAGCCCCAGTGTGGGCGCAGGTGAGAAGCCCTAGTGGGGTGCAGGACCCGAGAAAGGGGTCTGGGGGCCAGGCACGGCTATGGCCACCTAAGCCTCAATCGTGGGAAGCCCCAGTGGGGCGCAGGACCCAAGAAAGGGGTCCGGGGGCCAGGCATGGCTACAGCCGCCTGAGCCCCGATTGTGGGAAGCCCCAGTGGGGCGTAGGACCTGAGAAGGGGGTCTGGGGGCCAGGCACGGCTACGGCCACCTGAGCCCCAGGGCGGGCAGGGGATCGCGGAGACAGGCCCCAGGGCGGGCAGGGGATCGCGGAGACAGGCCCCAGAGGTTAGAGTGTGCCGTGTCACTGAAGGCAGGGCACGGACTGGGACATCTCAAGACCCCATGCCAAAGAGGGTAGAAAGGCAGCCTCCCTTTAACAATTTACCATCAAAGACGTGGCGGGTGAGATAGTGAGGGTGCGTTGAACCCGATTTGGCACGGTAGGTAGGGGGCGCCAGGGGAGATCACGGCACCCCTAGGTCACGTCCTGCCACAGGCCACAAGATCACCTCTCAACTTTCTCTTGCAGAGGCTGAAGAGATCTAGGGCCCTAAATCTCTCCTCACAAGGTTTTGCCTGCAGTCTCCTAACCATGCAAGTGGCCGTCCTCTGAACACTCTTGAGGTTGTCCACATCCCTCTTGAAGTACTGTGTCCAGTTTTGGAGCCACACTTCAATTGCAGCCTGACTTTGGACCTGTTTGTCATGCACCTGATAATGCATGATAAAGTGCAGTGAGCTTTACTGATCACTTTGTCACATTGATGACTTACGTTCATCTTGGAGTCAATAGTGACTCCAAGATCCCTTTCTGCAGCTGTTCTTGTTGGAGTCTGGCAGTGTTAACAATAATATTAGGTACACATTGAAGGTGCATGAGACCAGTGAAGAAGAAAGGTTTTTATTCAGGTGTTTATTCATGGCAAAGAAATTCTACTAGTCAACATCACTGGGCCAATAAAGAAGGATCCAGAGCTCTCTAGGCTTATTGCACAAAAATATAGGGCTTGAGACTCTCTGATGGTCATTGGAAATCATGAACAGCACATGCCCCTGGCGGCTGGGGGGGGTCACAGCCATGCTGGTGTTGGGAGCATGGTGGTGGTGGTGGGAGCCCGTTGGTGGTAAGTGTGGAGCTCCTGCAGACTCCACCGGCACTGTTGGCAGTGTGGGGGCGGGCACCTCCTACACATCACCTCTGTTGGAAATGGTTTTAGTTTGGTTCCTTATCCAGTACATCACAGCTCTCCTAGATGACTAGCTAATGAAATGCAAGTCCCCAGACATCAAGAAGTGCTTGAAATGATGCAGTATTTAGATCTTGGGGCTCACTGGAGGTTGGAGCATCCCAAAGAATTATAGGACCAGATTCATATTTACATCAGCATCTCTTTACATGTCTCTAGCAGTGAAAGTGCAATATTAAATCCTTTGGTAAAGAGGCCCTGCTTGGTCAGGATACTCTCTGTCCTTGGTTTCAGCCTGTTAAGCCCCAAGCAAGAGGCACAGCATAGGATAAAAAACACCCCAAATGGGAGAGGCACAAACAGCATTCACACAGGAACCTCAGAGGCTGTGGACTGCCTTCCTTTAGGGTAAATCACTCCTTCTGCAGCCTCAGCTTTCTGGATCTGCATTTCTTGGGTTAATCGATGTCAACCTTTGAGCAAGAGGAAACCAAACAAGAAGGCAACAGAGGGTGAGGAGATCAATGTCCTTCAAGATGAGGGATGTGCGAGTGGTCAGCCCTTTTGTTTATTTTTGACTAGATTTAGTCCTGAAGTCACAATAGCAAACCTCAGCTCTTGTGTCATCTGGTAGGAAGGGCTCTGGCACTCTCAGTGTTTTTTGCTACTATTGTTGTTTTATGATATTGCTCAGACTCCACTGTTAGAGTGTGGACAAACAAGCTACAGCATTTTAAAAGGGGCTGCCTGTGTGTCCCCACCCACCTGGCAGCACGGGCAAGCTAAATCACAGCAGCATTGCCTGTTGCCAGGGAGCAGCTGACCCGTGGTAAGCTTCCACGCTGCTCACCTTGCTGTAAATTGCTTGCTTGTCCTTACCCATAGACATGGGGGGTGGGCATTGAGCTAGACATCGGTCCTAAGTGGGCCTCAATCCAGCTTTCCAGATATCGCCATCTGATTGTCAATTCTAGGGCCAAAATTGAGGAAAACCTAGTGAAGAGTAAATCCTCTTCTTGAAAATCCTTTCAATGACAATCATCTAAGCTCTTATTTACAACTCTGGTGTGGAAGATGGTTTGGTTTAAAACACAGAGCCATTTCCCAGGCGGGTCTAACTCAGTGTCACTCCACTGGAATGGATGGAGACTGAGTTGGCACTGGCTGAAGAGCTGGCCCCTGTTTTTTAACCTTCTGTGGCCCCTTTAAATTAACAGCAAATAAATTTGTGCTGCCTGGGAAAAGTAAATAAACAGAGAGAATCTCTTTTTGGGAATGTCCCATGCAGAATTGTTTCCTTTCCCTCTTCCCCTGACAAATCTGGGCTCTCTTCCTAGTGGGATGTGAGGTCATCCTGGCCAGGGATAATTAAACTCAATAATACTTGGAAATAAAGTGAAACTTGGAGTGGACAGTCACTCCCTGGATAGACTCTGTGTACCTGCTACCATGCCAGCACCTGGGCCCATGCCCAAGGGATTGTGAGGATGGTGTTCCTCCGGCCATCAGCTCTGGATCATGGGCAATGAGATGCATCATGACTGCCACATTGAGCAGTGGAGGTGGCCAGTCCTCCAGAGCTCAGTGCGGATTCTTAGCTCAGCCACCAGGGAGAATCAATGGGGAAGTCCCACCCAGTGTGGAGGAAGCCATCCTCCACTGCAATATAGGAGATCCACCACTGCAATATAGGAAGACACCAGTGGAAAGGATGTCTATACGCCAGGTTCAGGGAAGTGCTGCAGTCACAGTCCTTTGCCATGGTGTCCTCCTGTCAGGTCACCGTGAAAGGATGGGGTATAGGCATGCATTTCACAACGAGGCCCAATGAAGCAGTGATGGATTGCTCGGAGCAGAGAGGAAGGCCATCAGGAGGACAGTGTTGCCTCTCACTCAGAGACAAGACAGGGCTCACATGGTTTGAGCATGGGGGCGAGAGTGGCATAATTAGGCCCCCCAAAAGTTGTCTTTTCCCCCTCTATGTCATAAAAATTAAGTTTGGATTAAATAATTTCTTACCAGAAGAAACCATCAACTTGCCCTGCTATGGGCTTGGATCCCAGCCCTATTCAGTACATGATGGCTAATCACTCCTCAGGGAAATTAGTCAATTCTCTCATCAGCAAATGGCTAGAAAGGTGCAAGGTACACTGTCAAACAGCTCCATGCTCCTCCAGTTACTGCACTTAGAAAAGTGCTATAGAAATCTTCCTCTAACAGCAGTTGCTAGATAGGAGCATTGGTCTCATACTTGTGTTTCCAGACATGGGTTTGATTTTGCTCTGTTTTTATGTTAGTGTAACACCATTCATTTTTATGGAATCACTCCTGATTTCTACCAGTGCCGAAACAAAAGCTAGCACACTGAGATATTACTGAGGGGGGCGGGGTACGTTTTATATTGATATTCTGGCTCCTTTTTAAATCGCTTTGTTCTCTTGTCACTCTCCTGTTTTATAAGTTATTCTGCTCTTTTATTACAAGCCTTCTTAAGCATTATATGAATTGAATAAATGTTTCTTTCATTTAAATGTCCTCAGGAACTATTTATGGGTGTGGGATACGTGGAGCTTTGATTTCAATGTATAGCAGTTCTTGGATAGCGTAAACACCATGAGAAGAACAGCTCTTAACTTATGCAAGCCTAAGAACTAGTTTCCCAAGCCTTAAAAAAATCCCCCTGAATAAAAGGTAAATAAAGATATGAATAGAAATGCAGAGATAGCTGGTATTGTTTGGGTTTACACAGACACCACTCTTTCCTATGGAAGATGAGTGCCCAGCAAACAGGAATAATAATTATGAGCAAACATCCTTAAACATTCCTTCACTGCGCAGCAGCACGATCATTCATCAGAGTAATGACAAGTAGGGGCACCATGAAGAGGGAACTGGGCTGGAAGTCAGGCCTCCCTTCTGCTCCCAACTCTGCCACTTACCATGGAAGATTTATTTTTCCACACCCTGCCTGAGGCAGGGAAGAAAGTGGCTCAGTGTCATTGGGTGTGTCACTGGAGGGCCCTAAATTGAGGCAGTGGGTTTTAAAAAACATTGCTTCAATTTACGGCTGATTAAACCCCCTCGTTGTGCACACCCTCCCCCCGACTTACCTGCCTCTCCGGCGAGGTGGGGAGGTGAGCTGCTGGTGGGAGGAGCGGTCCCTGGGCTATGGCGGGGGCGGGCAGAGTTTCCCTCCATGGCAGCAGTGCCCCCACCAGGCAGCACCTGCCTGCAGGCACCTGGCTCAAGCAGTCCCAGGGGGCACTGCAGCTGCAGAGGGAAGCACCAGGCCCCCATGCAGCTCAGGCAGCCAGGCAGGCTCGGGGGGTGGGGATCAGGCTCGCCACTTTTCTTGGGCAGAGCTGCTTTCCCAGGCTGCTGCCAGGCTGCCTGCAGGACTTCCTGCAGAGTTGTGGAGCTGCCCCTCCCCCTTGAAGGAGCTTTAGTTTGCTGCATCCCAAGTCATTTAAAGCACATTACACTGCCGAATTTCCTACAGCGGCTGGAATTAATGCACAATACGCCACCGGCGCGTGCAATTAAAGTGGTGCAAAAGCATTTAGCCTGCTTTAAAGTGTCGTGCACACACACCTCTCATTTAGTCTACACACAGCCAGTAATTCAGTTTTCAGCCCTTGCGTAAAGTTGGCATTGTGGCTGCTTTCCAGCCATTTGAAACATTGTTTCCCAAACTTTCTGGGATCACACACCCACTTCTGCTACAAGCCTGACTTCTCCCACTGACTTCCCTTGGGGTTTCCAATCTCTCTGTTTGGGAGCCAGGCCCTAACTTTAGGGAAGTCTGGATTTACCTGTTTGAGAAGTAAGGGCCTGTGATATGCAGATTCAGGGTTCAGGCTGGTACCATCTCTTCTAGAAACCAGTCTGGATACAGTGACTGGAGGGCGGGGGGCAGCAGGGTGGTGAATACAAGAAACATTTTGGTCTTAAGGCATAGCTCACAACCATCCTTAGTCCTCTGAACCCTGCTAGGATCCAGCCCCAACATCCTTCCTCTGACTTCACTGGGGGTTTGGATTAGGCCTCCAGTGATTATGAAATGTTGGCCAGGACCAGAGGAGTACTCTTAAGAAGTTCTGGGTCTTTGCTGCCCATGAGGATAGCTCTCTGGAGACACGCAGAAGTGAGTTCGTTTCACATCTTCTGTGAAGAAGAGCACCTCAAATGTTACACACTACTGCCTGTGGCCCAGTAGTCTGAGCAAGACCACAAGTTCCTCTAGCTTGTGGAAATACACATTCATCTTGGGTTTAACACTACCTGGTGTTGAAAGGGAAGCTTTTAATGCCCCCTCTGATGAGCTTCCCTCAATCCCTTCACCACACCGATCAGGAGAAAAGAAGTCACAGAATAGACTCTAGAAGGTCTGGTCAAATCCAGCTGCAGAGCCCACTTTATCTCTAGCATAGACCATCATGGCCTGGCATGGCCATCATGACCTGGTTCCTGGGAAGCATGGACAAGTCTTCCCACCCAGCATGTTCACTCCTGGCAGATAACTGTAGACTCTCTCCATGCACTGGCCAAAAACACTTTCCCAGACTCAAGGTTATCCAAACCTTCTGAGAGGAAGTTTGTCTTTACAAAGACCCTTGACACTCTAAGGATCAGGGACTTAGACATCACAGAAGAGCTCATAGGATGGACACTACATTAGGGAAGAGGGTGCTGGCATCCATATCTTCTGAGTCCAATGTATAATGGCTTTTTCTAATACAACTGGCATCTTTGATGGTAATAGCAATACACTCTGCCCAAACAGGCATGTGGAGTATGTCTGCACAGAAAATACTTTATCCAAAGTAGTCATAATCTTGGGAATTGATAATAGTGAAGCCATGGCAGCAAAGACCTCCATGTTGGTGACACAAAGTTGAGGGGGTTCCTGAGTGCTTACCTGAGCAGCTAGTCTGCACCAGAGTCTGGTACTGTTGTTATCCATACTTGCCAGATTACCCTCTGCTTGGATTCACCTGCCTGGGTTTCAATGGCACCTTCATTTGCTGTTAGAAACAGTCTGAGTCAGAAGCACTCAGATTCACATGCACACATGGGTTATGCTGCTGGAGACTATCCAGGGGTATTACATTACTCCTCTGTCCCAATAAACATTGTGTTTTGGCTTCTTTCTTGGCTTGCTTTCCTTTTGGATAGGACTAGAGGGCAGCATGGCTCTGGGGAAAGCTTCCCAAGGGATATGGGGGAACAGACAGTCTGGGACGTGGACATAAATCCCAGCCAGCATTATCTGGGAGGAGTGTGGTGCTCTTCAACAGCATCTCCCGTAGTTGGGGTGAAGAAGTAATGAGGAGACTGGTAAACACCAGCTGTTCAGCTAAGCAGAGGTGTGTGAAGTATATAAACTGGGCAATTTAGATTAAAAAAAACATGTATTTCCACAGCAATGTGGTTTTTTTCCATTATAACTGAGATGATAAATATGCATGACAGGTGGTGTGTAAAAGAGGGATGGTGGGAAACCAACTAGGAGCCAAGAGCCACTAAACATAACATTGCTTAAATAAAACCTTCTCTTCTTGGGCTGTACTGTCTCAAGTCTAGTGACTGCAGCCCTTTAGCATACATTTAAATAGTGTGGGGGGAGGAGGAGGGGGATCTCTGCCTGACTCAACATGTTCAGATGGCAGAACCAAACCAAACTGTAAGTGAATGGTATGCATCTTAACAGACTGACTGAAGAGGTTTATGGATCAGGAGTGCAGAGGCACCTAAAGGCAGGAATGGCTCTGGCTGTGTTAGGTCTCGGGCACATAAGACTTTAAAAAGAAAGTCCCTACCCCAAGGATCTTACCATAATGAGACTAGAGACTTAAGAGAGGAATACTGATGGCAATGTGACTGAGTTGAGAGAGTGAATTTAGTACTGCTGAGCTGAGTTGGATGGAGGGATATGAAAGAAGTACCTATAGCTATGTCCTGTGCCCTGGAGGGGTCAAACACCTCCTTGCAAGGACCACCAGAATTTAATGGTGATTTAATGTCTGCACTGCAAAAGTAGCTGGATTCCAGGTAGAGTTAAAATGGGATCCCATATCCTAACAACTTCTCTATGCTCTTTACACCTCTAAATGCTGGACAAATGACCCCCAGTCAATACCCCTCCAGACTCAGATGAGAAGCCTTTCTGGGTGGATAGTACTGGGACTGGGCTAAAATTTAGGTAGAGTCACCTGTATGAGAAGGATATGCTCCCTCTTACCTTCCAAAGGAAACAATGAGTCACTGTGGTACTGAGGACCACATGAGAAGATAGGCCTCTGGGAAAATAAAATAGGAAGTCGTTTTGGACAGGAAGAGAACAGGGTAGGGAAACAGCAAACACTTCATGAAATATCTAGTCCCTTATAAACAGAGAAGACTGTCTGGAGCACAGTTCTAGGTAGGGTGCCATGCACCTGTTGGTACCAAACCTCGACTGTGCAGCAAGTAGCTTAATTTCAGGCTGCTTTTTCCTTGGCTCCAATAAAGTCTGCTGCTCTATTCTATCTTTATCTGGCCCCAGCTCCAGGGAGGAACAGGATGGTGCTGTGGTGTGCAGAGATGCAAGACACTTATGAAATCTTCAGTAATCCACTTGCCTTGCAGCTGTCCTGACTCCTGAATGATGCACTGAGATCCCAGCAGCTTGTCTTTCTCCAAGAGGGAAGCACAGGCGGGAAGTTTGGCAGCAGGATTCGCCCCTCTCAGGAGTGATTGAGACAAGCATAGGAAGCAGCCCAAGTGCCAACAATTCCTGCCAGGCTACTTAATAACGTTAAACAGGAAAAAAAGGCTTGCTGCTCAAATACCACAAGGCTGTTGAGAGACAATCCAGGGATCAGCATGGAAACAAAGGACCTGGACCCCAAACACCAGGCAGCTTCTCAAAAAGGAAAGGCACATTGTAACATAACGAGAGCAGTAAATGACTGGCATTTTCCCCGCCTGTTTTTCAACCAGCTCTAGTTATTTCTAGTTCCTTTTAAGGGTACTGCCAGGTGCCATGAGATATTAGCACTCTTAGGTGTGCAAACACTGACACAGGATTCACAAGATAAACCCATAGATTTTAAACAGGAAATTTTGGTGTCAAAAACATTTTGACCTGTTGTGGTCTTCTTAAATTCTTTGCAGCAAAAAAGATGCTGTATTATTTTTCCACCAAAAATGATTGAAAACAAAGAGCTGGCATTTTATGTGGGGTGCCCTGAATCAAACAAGGGGGTACAGAGTCTAAAAACGTTGAGAATTGCTGCTCTGTGTGCTTTGGCACTGCAGTGATGGAGTCGCATCAAAATATGCAAACATACCTGCATAGAGAACGGCAAGCCGTTTGCACTTCCTAAAAGCCCCTAGGCAAATTCCAGTTGGAACAACTAGAACTCCGTACAGAAGGAGTAGATTCACAATACAATCACTATGGAGGAACTTACCCTGCATTTTACTCCACAAAAAATTTGGTCGGTGATAAGGAGCTCACTCAAACTGTCTAGAGTTGCTGATATTACAGAGCATGGCCAGTAGGTGGCAAGGGTGCCAATTTGCTTTGGGATGTAATCCAGGGGGGAATACACACAAGATTCTCCAGGTAATAGCTTTCCCATGTAGTGGGTGCATCTATACAAGATGCTTTACTGTACAGTAGACTAATCTACTGTGTAGTAAAGCATCATTAGGTAACTTTGTGCAGCAGCACTGCGCCTTAAAATAAGCTAATGTGCAGTTTTCTAATATTGGTAAATACAGATAGCAAATTTACTACGTTAGCTAATGCACAGTAGTGCATGGTTACATTGCTGACCAGGAGCAAATTGCTCCTGGTCAGCCCAGGCAGCAGGGGCATTCGAACTGTCCCTTCCCCGGGGCGGCTGCCTGCTTCCCAGCCTCCGCTTCAAATGACAGATGAGAGTAGGGGCTGGGATATTGTCCCCTGCCCCAGCAGTTGCCAGCTGCCAGGGTCCAGCTCCAATCTCTTTAAGCGCATCGGGTATCTGAGTCTCAATCTGGCCTTAAATGTGAGCACAATGTTTATTTGGACCAAAAAAATTACCCTATCTCTGCAAGTCAGTTTTCTTAAGCTCTTCATTGACTTTGGTGGGAGCAGTGAGGCTGGCACTAAGCTTTTCTGAAAACCCCTTCCTCACACACACTCCAGGTGTCCCAACTGAAGCACCAGGCCTAAAAACTGGGGCTCAACGTGGCATGCCCAAACCCAAAGGGTAAAGCCCAGCACCTTAATATGATCTCTCAGGTTGAAACGGTTTGTGTCACTTGCCATATTGCTATACCATTTTGCTGAATTTGCAGTGCTTGCTGTCACTGTATGAGGATGCACCATGTCATTGACTACTGCCAGGGGTCCACAACCTTTTATTAGCGTGGGTCACAGTTTGCAACTTGGCCAGTACTGTGGGATACCATTCCTTGCTGGCTGCTCCAGCAGATCCTACTCTGTGCAGAGGGCTGCTCTCTTGCCCCTCTAATGAAGCTTCAGAACAAAAATGTGCTATTGTGAAGCATGACAAGCCTTCCATGATTTTACAAATTCAGCTGTGATAGTGACCAGAGGCCATGGTGAGGGACATGAAGGGGAAGAAGGAGGTCAGTACACAATAAAATGCAGAACACGGAACACAGGTTGGATTGGATATCTGGGGATTAGCACTCTGTTAGTGAAACATGGACTGGAAAACTTTTTTTGCAGGTTGAATTTCCTGTTCTCTTTCTGTAGCCAAAATGGTGCTGAAGCCTCTTGCCCTTGCCAGTCAGATCCTGCCCATAGGCCATAGGTTGCTGATTTAGATCATTATTTCTCTCTTCCCTCCTCCCTTTGTGGCTACAAGAATTGTTCTTTGGGCAGTGCTGTGTGTTATGGGAAGACGCTGTCCCTGTCTCATGGGCTTGCTTTGTTTGTTTGCTGGCTTGTAGGCCTGTGTGAGCAGGCAGCTATTTGATCCGGCTTCAGATCCAGTCACTTCGGATACCAGTGATCAGATGCGGAGCTCCAGACTGGGTTCCTGCTTTGATCCGGCTGAAGTGGCTCTGAAGCTTTGGAGCCACCTCGGAGATCTGGCCATAGGGCATAATGGGGAATCAATTAAATATCTATAACTTCCTTGTTTTTTGTCTGATTTGGATGAAACTTGCAGGAGTGGTAGTCTCTGCTAAGAGCACGGACCCTGTCAAGTTTCAAGATGATTGGTGCAAGGGCTTGGGGGGAACTGTACCCTAAATTCTTGTCACGTGTATGTGTTACACCACGGGGGGTGGGGGTGGAAACTGTAGGGGTGGTGGCCCCTGGGGAGGCCACAAAGTCTGCCAAGTTTCAAGAATATCAGTGCAGGGGTTTGGGAGGAACTGCACCTCATGTTGCTGACAGGCAAATCTTGTGACATAGATGACCCTGTGTGTGTTAAGGTGCAGTGGGCTGAAAACTGCAGGGGTGGTGGCCCCTGCTCAGGCCATGAATCCTGCCAAGTTTCAAGAAGATAAGTGCAGGGGTTTGGGGGGGAACTGCACCTCAAGCTGCAGACAAGCAAAACTCGTGACATGGGTGACACTGTGTGCGTTAAGGCGCAGCAGGGTGAAAGCAGGGTTCCCCTTGAATGCCTGCACTGATCTTCTTGAAATGTGACAGGCTTTGTGGCCTCACCAGGGGCTACCACCCCTGCAGTTTTTACCTCCCTGTATTGTAACACATATGCGTGACATGAGTTTTGCTTTCAAGAATTTGGGGTGCAATTCCTCTCAAACCCCAGCACTGATCTCCTTGAAACTTGTCAGGCTTTGTGGCCTCACAATGGGCCACCACCCCTGCAGTTTTCACCCCCCATGTTGTAACACACAGGCATGACACAAGTTTTCTTTCAAGAATTTGGGGTGCATTTCCCCCTGAGCCCCTGCACTGATCTTCTTGAAACTTGGCAGGCTTCATACTGTCAGCAGAGGCTACCATCCCCGCAAGTTTCTATAGTTGCTACAGTGTCCAGTCAGATCCATGCAGGGGGACTAGACTTAATGATCTGTAATGACCACACCTGTGCTCCCGATTGTGGTCATTCATGGTGACCCACTGTACCCACCAGGCACTGACCTTTATGCAGCACTGCTGTGCCAACCAGTCATGCCCTCACTTCCCCATCCCACCTGACAGGGCCTCATAAATGTGGGCATTGAAGTGCCTGCCCCACTCAAACTGGTGCAGCACCACAAGGCTGCCAGTCTCCTCCTGGCTGCAGTTGGGGTGCCGGGTGGAGGGCATGGGTGTGCACACACGTATGGTCCCGGGCCTGGATGGGGAAGATGAGGCCATGCTGGGTCCTGCACTAGCTCTCTGGGCCCCTGCGTGGCTGTCCTAGTGTTGCTGACCCCAGGCAGCTGCCAGCAGCACCCAGCACAGGGTCACAGCATGAGACAGTCAGCCATGTGGCAGAGGCTATGCCCTGCAGCACCTGCAGGCACAGGGCAGGTTGCTGGGGGCATGCTGCAGGCAGGTAGCACTGGCCCTACTACCAGAAGCTGCCTTCAGGTGGATCTGCCAGAAGCTGAATGCAGGTGGCCCCAATGGCACTGTCCTGGCAGCCACAAGGCAGGGGAGTGCCAGGCAGCACTGCTGAGGTGTCAGCAGACAGGTACACCAGGGCTGTGGCCTGCCCAGGGGGACACATAAGGCCTGCAGTACCCTCAGGCTACCTGTGTTGTGTGCCCCAGGGCACAAAATATCTGCAGGCTTTCATAGCCTGCAGGCTGGGGCTGTCATAGAGGTAACCCAGCCCTGAGCCAGCTGTAGCCTTGAGATTGACCTTAAGATGGCCCTCTACTGGCTGGGCAGACCTGGGAGCAAATTTGCTTCTGGGTCACATTTACATGTGCATTACTGTGCATTAACTGATCATGCTTAAATTTGCTACCTGCATTTGCTGGTAACAAATTTAATCACAATTAAGGGCTTTTTACTGTGCAGTAAGCATGCACATGCCCCTTATTCTTTCCAGGTCCTGCCTGGAAAGAATAAGCTGGCATATAACCAGCTTGATTGGTGTTATGTTTCTGTTTTCTGTTTTTATAGCAGGTTTGGGAGATCATCTTCCTTAGCTGCTGTATTTTCATGCAGCAGGGTTGCTCTGGATAAGAAGCCATATATGGAGGAAATTTCCTCAGACCTTAATATTCCCTGAAATTATTTAATCTGTTAGGTGTCTGCTGTATTTCTTTCATGCCTTGGAGGAAAGGCTATGACCCTTAGGAGCCCAGCAAGTATTGTATGGTATTGAAGTCAATCACAATTTCACCTTTCTTTTACTCCTTTTTAGGTTCACTGTTTAGGATTGTTCTTGAGTACAGGTGAGGTCATGGTTGTGATACAACACAATGTCCTTATGCTGTTTTTCTGCAGATACATAGCACAATGTAGCAGCTATGATTCTGGTCCCAATTATTCTTGGTGGTAAGACTTGCAGGTAATACTGGTATCTTTCTCCTGTAAGCTTTATCCTAAATTCATAGCCAACTGTTAGTGCCCAAAATGTAGCAATAGTATGGTGAATATTTTTGTTTTTGCTAACACAAGTATTTTTTTTTCAGTTGTAGGCATTTGGTATGACCCTTTTAGTGCTTTCTTTAAATTGCTTGAATCTATATAAATGCACAGCTTGCCTGGCTTATGTCTCCCATGCTGTTTATCCAACTTGTAGCCTGTGTCTGTAACAACAATGCCGCCTGTCTTCATTAGTTATATAGCTCCAATTATTTTTTCCCTTAAATGTGATCCAGTGTGCAGTGGATGTTACAATGGTGGAATAATTTCTTCCATGTATAACATTCCTGGAAGACTTTCTAGTCATTCAAATACATTTATTTGTATTTTTTTAGTAGCATTGGTAAATTAATGCCACAGTGCATTGTCCACTTTGAATATTTGGCTTGTGTCTCCATTGTATGAACAGTTTGACCAAGGTTTGGCATAAATAAATGCACTTATTTTAGTTGAAAGCAGCAGCTCCCGTCTTGCCTGTACTATCTGAAATTTTAGTCTATATGAATTTCCACAATAAATTATCTTAGGAGTATGTCCGTTATACCCTCACTGATATCACTTTCTGTTTGGTGTTCAGATTCATGTAGGCTTGTGTGCTGCTGCCTTGCATTTACAACTGGTGTTAGTCCAAGTCCTCATTTATTTTGGTACTATGAACTGGATCACTGCCACATCCATGCAAAATTTTGCCCTTTGAATAACTGCTATGGTGCATATGTTTCTTTATTTTTTCTTGCTTGCAAGCTTTGGCATAATGATTTCTCTTGTAACACTATGGTACACGACCAATGTATAAAGCTTCTTGTCAGTATTTCTCCACAACACTCATCACTCTTCCTTTGCATTTTGTCTTTCTCTGCTTTTAATTGGTGGATTTACTTTTGCATGAATTTTGCTTTGTTTTTCCTTGTACTTTTGTGCTTCCCCATTGCTAGTTGGTGAATGATCTTTACAATTGCTCCACATGTTTCCTTCTCTGTATTTGGATGTGAACTCACTCACTACCTTTACACATGTCTATTGCTCTTGGTAGTAAGGTGGCCACCTTTTTGCTTGCTGAAATAGGGACAAAACGTAGCAAAATGTTCTCTATTAACCTTTGTGATAACACATGCATAATCCAATAATAATGGTAAATAACCATCATCTGAGCTCTTAAAATGTAGTATGTGTAGTGTAGTAGGTGAAGTATTGCTTTTAAAGGTGTGGTTTTGCTATTCTTTGCTGTTGTTGAGAGGTTCTTTGTTATGGGGATGAATTCATGGAAATGTTGGCATGACTTTTGGTACCTCACTTGAACACAGTTCAAGATGAGCTCTTAACCTATGTCTCTCATCTGTCCATAGATTCTTCATCCTACAGAACTTTCTCTCACTGAAGTGTTGCTCACAGGCAGAGTTAGCGCACACTCTTCTGTTGTTCTGAAGTGCTGTGTATTTGCGGTTGGAAATTAAATTGTCCTACTTGTGATTCACTTATTCTATGATGATCATCACACACACCAGCTATTTTGAGCAGTTGGGCAGTGTACAGATCTGTTGTTTCTCCGGCCACTTGATTGCAATTGCTGATAAACTACCTTTCATTTAAGACTTATAATAGTCAAAAATGCTTTTGAAGTGCTTCTAAGATTTTATATGGGCTCTCTTTTGTCTGCTGCTGCCCTTGCCACATGCTGTAGGTACATGTGGCTCATTGCCCATTACAGATAATAGTGGAGCAAACCTCCTAGTTTGTTCTCCTTTTTGTCCAGCTTAGTAGCAATTGTGTAGTTTCCCCATTGTGATCTAAAGAGTGTCCAATTGCTAAACACATCCCCTTTCAAGTCCGATTGCTTGGAGACTGGAATCTGGTCTGCAGCTGTGAATGCTGTTTGCTTTTGTTTGCCTCTTGCAGTATTCTGAGTTTCTTATTTCTCATGCTGGCAGGAGATGGCTTGCTTTTGAAACCACATTCAGTGCTCAGGTGTGAAGGTGAAAGACAAGACAACGCAACATTCAAGCATCATTTTTCCTGCTCTATGTCCTCTGTCATTCAGTGCTGTCTGGTAGCAGAGTTCTGCAGGTTCCTCGATGGTAGATTCCTCCTGTCACATTATAGTGCCCACTATAGGAATGCCATCGAATTCAGTGTTCACAGCCAAGATGTACTGCAGTGGCACCTTGGAGTGCCTTGACATCCTTTCAAGGATGCTGTGAGGTGCTACACAATGTTAGCATTGTTAGGTGTGTTAAGGTGGTTCACAAGATAAATCCAGAGATTTCAAATAGGAATCCATTATGTTCAAACCATTGTTGTGGTTTTTTCAGAATTCTTTACAACTGAAGAACTGCTCTAATATTTTTCTGTAGTTAACAACTGAGTGGGTGTGTCTACACATGCACATTTACTGTGCAGTAACTGAAATTACTGTACAGTACGGGCACGTGCCTACATGTGCATGCCTGTACTGAACAGTAAATATGGTGACTTACACCGACTTGAGTGTAAATTTGATACCCGCATCATGCATGTGTCAGATTCATGCCTGATTAGTTACTGTGCTGTAATGCATGTGTAGACATGTTACTGTACAGTAACACAGTGTTAATGCGTTTTAATGCTTGCACATGTAGACGCCATCCTGTTCGCACTTACTGCACAGTAAATTTAAGCTGATGTAAATGCATGTGTAGACATGCCCAGTGAAAACTAAGAGCTGGTGTGGCAAATGTGAGAGCTCCCCAGCCAGCCACTGTGCTGGTCTCCCACTGCCTCTGGGCACGCTGCCCACCTATCTTTCCTGCCATGCCTTGCTCTTAAGTAATTATGATCTTAATTAGGCTGGAGTTTACCCATTAACTGCCCTGTTCTCCTGGGCTTATGTATGCAGCTCCAACCACCCCTGCACTGCATCCCAAGCATCACAGATGTTGGTCACAGCAGTGCTAAGCTCTGGCCTGAGGCCAGGCCCAACTTGTCACAGCCTTCAGCCTCATTCGCTCTGCCCTGCTAGGGCCATACTCATACTGCCTCCATTTCACAGAGACCTCTCACTCTCCACTGGCTCTCACGCGGTCTTTTTCATCCACCCCCTCCTGGGCCTCACACATACTGTCCCTTCTCTCCCGGGGACCATATTCAACCTTCCCTCACCTGGAGGGTCCACAGGCTTGCTACTTTTCACTCCCCGGTCAGCAAGCGCGCAGCCTTTTGGGCATCTCCTGCTACCCAGTGCTATCTGAGTGAGCACTAGGAGGTTAACTAAATGCTGTGCTGACTATGCCTCTGGTCTCGTAACCAGGTAACTCCCCTGGCTGCTCTCCATCACGGGGCTGATGGCTTGTCCCCTGTTCTCCTCGCGGCTCCTCCTCTGCCACCCTCCAACCAGCCTCTGGTCCTCCTGTGGCCTTAGATGCCCAAAAGCTCACCTGGACCTAACTTAGGGCCCCATGCTAGCAGGGCCTCCACTTAAGCCCCTGCCCTCAGGGCCCCAAATCATGCCCCTCACTCACTGGTCTTCACCACCGCCACTCTCTACCCCGCCCCGTACTCTGGGGTCTGTGGTCAAACACCTCCACAGACTCAGGTGCCACTTATTGGCATGCCTGGCCTGCAAATTGCCCTCTCACTGGGGCCTCAACTGCTTGCCTTACAGGGTCTTCCACCCTTTCAGGCTCAGGTGCTTCTCAAAGCTAACCTGGCCTTCACTACTCCCCTTTGTGTCTTGCACCCCCAATGGGCTCAGGTGTCCTCTATGGACATCCTTGGCCCCACTACTCACTCTCTCTCCGGTGTAATCATGTAACTCACCAGGTGGTGGGGGCAGGGATTATTAAGGCATCCTGACCCACCTTTGGGATGGTCCTTGAACCTGGCATTTCCTGGCCCTGCCCTACCACAGGCAGGACTACCAGGCCTCCCTATGTTTTAGGTCATGCCCAGGACCATGCTCCAAGCCATCCCCATAGCTCCTGCCCTTAGCTCCTAGTTGTTCTCAGAGCCCGTCTGGGAGACGTTGCTTCCCTCAGCACCAGGCAGCAATTGCTGCCCCTGGTCCTGCTGGGCTGAGTCTTAGATGGCCACTCGTCAAGATGGGGCTACACCTGCCTGCAGCCTCGCCCAGATCTTAAAATGGCAGAGCACTGTGAGTGCTTTGACATGCACCTTCCCCCTTAAAATAGTTCCTGGAGGTGGCTTTTCCCCACTGCTCTGCAAGCAAGCTCCCGCCGAGCTTGTAACTGCCCCAGAGTGGCAAGTACCCCACTGGTGCTTCACCACAGCTGGCATTTTCTGAGAGGTGCCTTGAGCCTATTGAGGGGTGCCTCAAGCCTGAAAACACTGGGAACTATGGATCTAGTCTAATAGCTTTGAGAAGGTTAAGAAACCAGCAGACAGCAAAAAGCAAAACAAGGAGGCTATGAAACGACTTCCTTCCTGCCCATCCAAGAAGTCTGCACCACACCAGGGAACTGACCTTTGGAGGTGCTGAGCAATAGGTCCCACAGAAGCAAAGCCATAGAAAACATCAGTGCAAACGCTCCCCTCAGGAATGCTTGGCTTGAGGAAACTAGAACAAAACTGTTCCCTCTCACGCTCCCCTGGATTTTGCCAGGTTTGGGATTTCTCACACGGTATCGTGGAAGAATTCAGTGGCTGTGACGCTGGCTCATTCTATAACCTTGGTCCCCCAGGAGGCGAGCGGCCCATACAAATGGCCTGGCAGCAGCCTCGCTGCCCCAGTCTGATCTGCTGACTCTGCCTGAGCAATGCTTCTCCATCCTTACTTTTTCCATCAGGCTTCATCTATTTGGACACTTCATTTAGTGTCCAAAACAAAATACCCCTCCATCCCCTATTGGCATGTTTCTTGAGGGTGGCTATAGTAGCTGTACTGTTCAAAATGGAGATTAATGTCTCACCTTAACAAACGACAATGGGGTGTGAGGGGCCCAGATGGAAGCTGTGCCTGTATCGTGGAGTGCAGAGCACCGTGGCCTAGGGAGAACAGAAGCAGCAGCAGAGAAATGTGTCGTTTCAGACATACCAGTTGCGACCAAGAGCCTCCCCTCCCTAGTGCGTGAGAGGAACCTTAGCAATAATTAGCAGCTCATTAATATTTCCTGCCCCACAGGCTAAAGGCGGTCATCTCGGGCAGCCGCACAGGCACAGCCCAGGCTCTCTCAAGCATCCTGAAATGCTCCCTGTGCCAGATCAGAGGTGCAGTTCCTGTGCAATTGAGGGAAACAAGCTCTTTCCTTTCCATTGCCTTCAAACAAGGGTGAGAGGCCTTGGCTGGTACAAAAATAAATATGATCAGAACAAAGGCAAATCCCAGAGCCAGATGCTATTGTAAATAGTGCCTTTCCTTCCCCTCCCCCAAACACTCAGCTTTTCTGGAGGATCCCCTCCATGCCCTGGCAGGACAGCTGCTCTCTGTGTTTGGCACAGTCTGAAGACTTGGTTTGTTTTCTGTACACTCTTCAGAGAAATCCATGGCCTGAACTGGAGGGCCATGCAACTATTGGCTGTTACCTCTGTGAGCTTCTCAAAGAAAGGGGAGAAGATAGTGCCAGGAAAAAGGCAGGGCAAAGGCTATCAAGGGAGGATAGTGAAGGACTTGGCTGCCTATTTAACTTCTAGATGCTCTGGTTATTCAGGCCAAGGCTAGTGGAAGTTGTTTTCTTTTCTGTGCTCTCATTCCAAATCAGCCTGAAAAAAAACGCACCCCAGATCTCTCCCTGCCTTGGAAAGCAAGTGTCTGTGTCTGTCTGTCTGCAAGGTGGAGACCCTTGTACTGGGGTACGAGTTGCCCGACAGGCAGAACATTGCAACTCAGCTTGTGCGGGCTCAGCCCTGTTGTTACACACTGTGCTGTGAGTGCCGTCTCCAGCCTGGGCTAACTTCAACCTCCAGGCAAATGAAAGTACAATGGTCAATGAAGACTTTTTCTCTGAGGGACCTCAACCAGGTCTCTTTACCCTCTCTGTAAAACAAGAAGCATGATACTGACAGACAGTTGAGCTCCTTGGGCCCAGAGCACCATGAGCCAAAGATCTCATTATGAAGGTATGACACCATGATACTTCAGCACCAGTGAGGAGATTTGGAGGAACCCATTTCCTTCATGGATAAGGGATAATTTCCTGTGCTAGCAGTTTTTTGCATGGGCACATCAGGTCTTCCTGTCATTGATAATCCATCTGTGCTCTTTAGCCTCCTGGGGCTAGAGAATCAAATTAGTTTAAGAGATATGACAGCTTTTAAATGAACCAGTGGGGAAGGAGCTGGTTCCCATGGAAAGGGCTGAAGGTATCTGGAGGGGAGAAACCTCCTTGGAGGGCAGTTGGAAACATTGTCTGAAACCTTTCTTTGGCTTGAGGTTGAGTGTGTGTGTATGTTGTGTGTGAGTGTGTGGGTGTGGAGGTCCTCTCTCTGGTCACTGGACAGGCTGTCTTCTCCTGAATGTAATAGTCTGAATGCTTGTAATAAATACCCATTAGCCAGTTTAGAAAAAAAGGCAAGGTTCATCTTTTTATCTAGGGTCATTGCTTGTTTTTGCGTATGTGGTGAATGTCTTGATTTTGAATTTTATCTTTAGAGGCCTCGCAGCAAACGTGCTGAATGTCTTGGTTTTTGAATTTTATCTCTAGAGGCCTTTAGCAAAGTTAACCTAAAAGCGACCCTTAGGTAAATGTTTCGAGAGATTGAAACCTAGGGACTTGTGGAAAGGGGTTGGCAAGAGGTCACATCAGTGGTATGGAAACTTTCCCAAAGAAGACCCAGGAAAGGAATCTGTTGGGTAAAAGATCCGAGCCCAAATCTGGGAGTAGTGACAGGTTTGGGTAGGAGGGGGCCCAAGACAGCAACTCACCCAATAAAAACTGTAACCTACAGTCCCAATTTGGAGGTAACCTCACTTGCAGAACACCAAAGGAAGAATTGCAAGTGTAGGCCAGATC